CCAAAAAAAAAAAAAAAAAAATAAGCTGAATGTGGAGGCTGAAACAGGAGGACTGCCACAAGTTCAAGATCAGCCCAAACTACACAGCAGAAACCCTGTCTTAAAAAACACAAAAAAAAATTTTACAGAATTTAAGTCACATAATATCAAGTGTTGGAGAGGAAGTGAAGCAAGTGAAACACATACTGCTGGGTCTTGACTTAGTAACCACATGATTCATAGCTACTGTGAGCCAATTCAGTGACTCAAAACATTGGAAGTATTTGGTAAGCATTAAGCAACTGATAATGACCAATCCAGCATTTTGAGAACACACGCAAATTACTGCCAAACACAAATTTTGATCCTTAATGAATTAGGTCCAATCTGATTCCACAATATAAAAATGAGTCAAACTAGACGCAGCAACAGAAGAAAACTTCTAGTCTTCTCCCAGTTTATCTAGTTTATTTTATGAAGTACAATATATTCAGGTGTTCATTTCCTGCTAGAATTCTGATAAGTGCCTAAATTTCACTGAACTACTTTGATTCCAGATTTACTAGTATTTCAATGAGAACAAGTAGTTAATTTAAAATTTTATTTTTAGTAGTACATGTTTATAGTATGTAATGATTACATTCATCATGGGAAGTGGATACAATTTTTTTTTTTTTTTTTTTTTTTTTGGTACCAGGGATTGAACTCGGGTCCTTGTGCTTGCAAGGCAGGTGGTGGAACCACTGAGCTACATCCCTGGCCCTACAATTTATTTTTTGTTTTGTTTTGTTTTATTGAGACAAGTCCTCACCATGTAGTTCAGGCTGGCCTTGAACTCAATATGTAGGCTAACCTGGCCTTAAATTCAAGGCAATCCTCCCTCCTGCCTCAGCGTCCAGAGTGCTGGCACACAGGTGCTGTACAGCATTTTAAATGATATTACTTTAATTTTGGGGGGGTGGTACCAGGGATCAAACTCAGGACCTTGCTCTTGCAAGGCATGCACAGTACCGAGCTAAATCCCCAGCCCAGCATTACTTTAAAACCAGTATGTTTATCCAGTCTACTGGCAAACATATAATTTCAGCTACTCAGGAGGCTAAGTCAGGAAGACTGCCGGTTCTAAAACCTAAATCCCCAGGATGAATGTAATATTATGTGGTACTAATAAATAAAAATGTTTTCATAAAACCCTATTCAAAATAAAGATGAGCCAGGCATGGTGGTACCCACCTGTAATCTCAGCAATCTGGGAGGCTGAGGCAGGAGGATTGCAAATTGGAGCCTGGCCCAGGCAATTCAGCAAGACCCTACCTAAAAATAAAAATAAAAATAAAAATGGGCTGGGGATGTAGCTTAGTGCAAAGGCCCCAGGTTTAATCCCCCACACTATTGCTGCTGCTACTGTTATTACTACTAATAATAATAAAATAATAATGGACAAAAATTAAGGCCAGCCTGGACTACATGGCGAGACCTTGTCCAAAATAAAAATAAAAAGAGCTGGGCATGTAGCTTACTTGCCTAGCATACATTAGACCCTGGGTTTAATCCCTAGTACCAGGGAAAGAAAAAGTTACTGTTTTTCCTTTATAGGAATTGGGGAGGGCCCCCATGACCACCTAAGAGGGGCAAAATTGTTAACATTCAGCGTGAGCACTCATGTTGGACAGAACTAAATTCAAATTTGGATTCTAGGCCAAGCATGGTGGTGCATAACTGTAATACCATCACTCAGGAGACTAAAGCAGGAGGCTAACCTGGGCTGCACAGCATGTTCCAGATCAGCCTGAGTTATGTGGGAAGGCCCCATCTCAAAAGAACGAAGTGCAGATTCTACCATTTTATAACTGTAATCTCAATTACTCCTCTCTGGTTCTGTTTCTTCGGTGCATAAAAAGCATATGTTATAACCAAGCTACTTACCTACTCAAACTATAAAGATCAAGTGAGATTATCTAGTGTTTAACTTTGGAGGCTTACTAATACACATACAGTGTTAGCACCTTTCCCCTTGTAAATACTGCCTTTTACCAAATTGTCTCTCCTTTTTTGGGGGGAGGGAGTTTGTGCTGGGTATTGAACCCAAGGCCTCACAGGCGCTAGGCAAGAGCTCTATCATGAAACTTCGGCCTAGCCCTCACCTATCATTTTTCAAGTCTGAAACTATAACTTCCAATTAATAGGAAAATATTATTCTTATATTCGCATTATCTCCCAATATTACTGGAAACTGTGCACTTCCATTTGGAAAGGCAATCTTTACTTTTTTTTGTTTTTTGCTTTTTGAGGCAGGGTCTACCTTTGTAGTTCAGGTTGGCTCTGAACTCAATATATAGCCCAGGCTGGCCTCAAACTCAAAGCAATCCTCCTACCTCAGCCTTCCCAGTGCTGGGATTACAAGAGTGTGCCAACACGCACGGCTTTAGCTTCTTTTTTTTAACAGAAAGTACTTTTCCTATAATAAATTCTCAAAAACCCTACTATTTCTTTTAACAAATCTTGACACGAGGATGGATATTCGTCTTTGCAGTATAGAAATAGGAATTCCCACACTGTATAAGAAACTAAACCCAAGAGATTTCTAATCTCCTTTTTTTTCCCTCCTAAACTTCTTTTAAACTCAAGGTCTTTCTGACTCTAAGGAAAAACTTATTTAAACCAGGGATGGTGGCACCTGCTTGTAATCCCAGTACTCAGGAGGCTGAGGCAGGAGGACTGCTGTGAGTTTGAGGCCAGCCTGGGCTACACAGTAAGTTCAAGGACAAGTTGAACTACATAAAAAAGGACAGCGGATTTGGGCTCAGCGGTTCCACCACTTGTGCCTCACAAGGTCCCAAGTTCAATCCCAGTAAAAAAAAAAAAAAAAAAAAGCTTATTTAATGTTGTAAACAAGTATTTCTTTCTCTTTTTTTTTGGTACCAGGGATCAAATGCAGGTCCTTGTGCTTGCAAGGCAGGCGGAGGCACCACTGAGCTAAATTCTTGGCCCTAACACGTATTTCTTAAGCAGACACATTTCTTGAAAAAGACTATCTAAAGAAAATCATATGATTATAATGAATGAATGGACAGATGGACAGGCACGGTGGTGCACACCTGTAATCCAAGCACTTGGGAGGTTGAGACAGGAGGATCACTAGAGCTTGAGGCCAGCCTGGGTTACATAGTGAATTCAAGGCCAGTCTGAACTAC